TTCAGTTTTATTCATGCTATTGTTTATGATTTCCATTTATGTTTATTTCTTAGACATAAATTATTCAAAATATTTATTATTTTATATTGTATTTGTTGTTATATTATTTATCAGTTATTCATGTATATTTAATCATTATAAAGTCTTTCTTTATTTGCAATTTACCTGTAAAACATATAAAATTTCCGGCAGACCAATAATTTTGCAACCAGTATAAATGTTCTGTGTATTTTTTAAATTTATAATTTATGTATATTTAATAAAGCATTTCTCATTCAAATTCAATATCCGATTAACATGAAAATTTCTAAAACATAATGCAATGCTTCTGTCAGTTCTTAATATTTTTACTAAAACTTCATTTGTTGTTCTTTTCAGAACATATAAGTTAACATTAGCGAGTACTATTCTAGTTTAGTTACGCATGTTCCCATTAAAAAAAAATATGCAAGGTTAACGATTACCTATGTTTTTGTTTACCAGTTTCTCAACTTTTCTTCTTCAAATAAGAATGTAAAAAATTCCGGGGTTAAAGACTTTAGCCACTTGATAAAGGTGAAGGGAAATCTTTTAGTAGGTTCAATAAAATGGGAAGACTTGAGTTGCGTGACTGGAACCCAAAAAGGGAGAAAATATTCAATATTACAGGACATTCCCTTATTCATTTTTATAATCTTATTTTTTTTTCGTGTACAAATAAGTGTTTTTCTTTTGGACTCGGGATTTCTTTCGGCTATACCCTTGCCAAGTTGATAAGTCCAATGATAAATGGATAACTTAAAATGATCTATAAAACAGTAACTTCCCTACCATGCATTATAGCTTTATCACCATTTCTGTCGGGTTTGTAATGTCCTATGTGAAAATATCAAAGATTTGTCCTTTGAGAAGAAAGTCCACTGGAGGAGCAATTTTGTCGAGAAAAATACTTTTGCACACGCTCAAGCAAACGTAGTGAATATAATAAGGTAAGATTGACAGCGGATAATTTAATCATTTCAGTCTCCAGTTTTGCTGTTTTCGAAATATCGATGTGTTGAGAGGAATACATTTGCGGATTTGTAAGCGAAAGGGGCCGATTGAAGTCAATGACATTGATATTGAACTATTTCCAGGCTCTTTTGCAGTTTAGTCCAATTAGTTTTTAATAGTAACCTGCTATTTTAGGCTATTAAAGAAAAAGATCGCTACTGTTAGTGCAAAAAATCGTATACAAAAACTGATTTTTTTTTTTTTTACAAAAGCCGATTATTTCTTTAGAATTCTTTATTATAATTTCATATTTTCTCTCCCTATGCTATTTTCTTCTGTAGCACACTACATATATCTCTTGCAGACTACAAAATGTCACCTTTAGTGCAAAGAGTATAAACAAAACAAGTAAAATCGAGACATACGACCTTTTTCACTAACAGTAGCGACGTATGATATCGAAAGTTTTAATTATAATAACCTAATTCACATTTTTTTTTAAAGATTATTCACATGGTCAAAACTATTTCATATTTGGTATTATTGTCGTAAACAAATCTTTTTCGTGGTGAGTTCTTTACAGAAGTCACATATATATATGTACCAGATTCCTAACAAGACTTAAAGGCTTCCCTCTGGTTGTTAATGTAACTGGAATATAACTTAAAGGAGTTCATCATGTCAGCTTAATGAATCTGTTAACAGATGTTTATATAATAGAAAAATGACATTGATTCAAACATAACTGATACATTTCTACAACAGACACGTTTCTAGTTTAAAAATAATTGGTGGAACTAATATACAAAAGACCTAATTCACGTACAAACCTGGGCAATCCTTGAAAATTTCATCAAAGTTGAATTATTGGTGGTACGTTTAGTTCCCGACACCTGGATTTCCCTGCAAACAAAGACGAAACTTTTGTTCCTTGATTTCTTCACAACGTGAAATGCGACTGAAAATTTTTTGATACTGAGAACATTATTTTTGTTCATTTATTGTAGAATATCAAATTCTCCCATCTCGGTTTGTGAGGAAGAAAAAAAATAATAATAAAAATAAAACAAAAGACAAGAATGGATATTATCCGAAAATAAAAAATGAACGTTAAGGAAATGTTAATTAATAAGATGTTGATTTTAATATAACCCTAAGTAGGTTTAGAATTTACGTTTCTAAGGATAACGTTCATCTTAAAGATAACTATAGGGTTCTTTGCGCTAAATCTATTCTCCTTTTCCAAATTATAAGTTTATTCATCGACTTCCCAAAAAATTATGTCGTTTAAATAAGAGGATCTCCTGATTCATGTCACGTCACTTCCTCCCTAAAATGACAATGTTTTACGTGTGATTTGTTTTTTCACTAAAGCAGAAAATAAAGTCGGCAATTTCTATAAAATAAGAAATGGGCCTTGTTAAAAGTTGAGAAGTGAGCCCTTGAAGGAAGGCTTTGTCGAGGAGTATAACTTATTTAAATGCTACCTGATCCTAGGAGGGTGGGGGGGGAGGGAGGTGGAGGGAGTGTCTTACATCTTACTTTGTATTCCTCAGCTCTCCACATACATATATCATGTCTTCATACATATTTTTACATGTAATCTGGAGCCACCAACTCTAACCTCCTCCCTTGAGTTTCCACTTATACTTTAAGGAAATGGACTCCTTTCGTGATTGTAATGTGATTTCAAGTCCTCTTCGATGTAGTTGGTTCAATCTATTTAGTCGTTGGTCTAGTATACCTGTTTCTTACGTTTTTATTTAAAAAAAAATGTATGAGGTAAAAAAAAAAAAACAACATCGAGGAAATGATGAGAACAACCTTAGGAGGGGTAACTTGCAGAGGAGTGGATGGTTGTCGACCACAATGCAGAAGTGTATATACCTACTATCAAGTATGGACTGGAGGAACTACTTTTTTTTTTTTAATTCTGTATTTGACGGAAAAGGTTCCAGTTAACTGGCCCCTCATAAATGACGATGGGGAAGGTTTGGGAACGGGTTCAAATGAAACATTTAGAATTAGAGGAATCAGAGGAAAGTTTATTCAAATGTGTTATGGAACAATTGAGGGGACCTAAGCCGCTTTGTATAAATAAGTTAAGAATATCAGGATTACTGTTAGGATCTGTGGGCCAGCCAGTAGGTAGGAGAGTTGGGAGAAAGGAGGTTAAAACGTTGGGAATTGAGTGCAGACAACAGGAATCGGCCATGAGAATTGAACGGTTCTGGAACCCCATTGTTGGTGCTTGGAATTTAAGTCTGCACCCAAGATGAAGTGATGTCTTACGGAGTCAAGGAGAGAACTGAATTGGACATTGGATATGGATCGGTTAGGAGGGCAATACGCTGACGCGAGGCTAACCGGAAAGGAAAAGGTTTTTATTAAGATAGCGGTGGATTGTAGTAAATCTTGTATAGGTAATGGGAGTAGGTGATGGAAGAGGGATTGGTGTACAATTGCAGCAGTACCAGCATGTGCTCTTCCGTCAGGGTGGTCCGTACGATATGTCAGGTATTGCGGTATTTTGAAGTGCTGTTTAGTGGTTTGTCGAGTTTCAGTTATTAGGTCCACGTCAATGTTCTTGTCAATTATTAATACAGATAGTTCGTCTAAATGATTCCTAACACCATTCGCTTTCCAAAGGAAAATGGATATGGGTTTATCGGAAGCCATTTAAGGATTTTTTGGGGGAGGGTTAAGATATGGCACAAGATTGGTGAAAAGGGATGTCAAAGGAGTAACAAGGGATCTGAATTCAGAGACGAAAGATGTAATTAAACTGATGAGATTTGTGGTATTTCATGGAGGAGGAATGTAGTTACTTCGTAAATTTTTACATCTAACAAGTATGTGACATTTCATTAAAAAAAAACATTACTATTTTTCATAAGAAGGGGAAAAAAGAAAGAGAAAGTACTATTTTTTTTTATTGCATATATTGAAGTAATAAATATAAATTACGTAAACCGTTAATTATAGCAAATATTTCATATTCATTAAATTAATGTAATGTTATTAATAATTTATCGATCATATGTGTTAATCTTAATTTTTTATAAACATCTTTGTTTTATAACTGTATTATGTACATCTTAAATCCCAGAAACTGAATATTCTCAATACATTGACCAACATTACATTAAATAAATAAATACGTTTTCAGATATTATATTAAATTACAATCTCTATTGAATATATCATTTAAAATAATTTTGTTCTGTAACGCCAGCGAAATAAATAGAAAGCCAACAACACTCAATATACTGAAATAAATTAATCCATGTAAAAAAAAAATATATATATATATATATTTTTTTAATGTATATATATACATATATATATATATATATATATATATATATATATATATATATATATATATATATATATATATATATATATATATATAGTAAACAATTTTTAAGATAACTATGATAATCATGAGATAAGAAAAAGTCAGTTGTGCTTTCTTGCACCGAAAGTAACAAAGACCGACGTGTAGGTCAATCAAATAAAAATAAATACGTCACCAGACCAACGTGAACATTTCCAGGTATAGAGGAGATTTTAAAGGTTCAGCTGTCAGTTAATGATCTTATCTTGTGCTGATAGCTAAAATTGCTGTGAAACTACAGTAATCAATGTTTTAATGAGGTTTCCTCTTCTTCTCCAACAGATGGTGTAAATTTATTAGACTGATTACCACTTGAAAATATGGAAGAACATGTATTCACCGAAGAATATTAAAAACTATTAATTCAATCAGGCGTTGACGACTTGTCTATACATTCTGTTGTCGTATCGGTAATAGCCATATCATCATTCGTACCTCCTCCCTGTCCAGACAGTAATTCTGTAACAGTGTCTCGAGTCAATATTGTAGTTGTTACTTTTGTCTCATCAACAGCAGTTGAACTATATTGATCAGCGCTAGTGGATAGTTCCCCTAGCACTTCTGATATAGTTTCTGTTGGAGATGACCCTGTTACATCGTTCGTACGATCCAGTGTCAGTATTGTGTTTTAACTAGACTGATCATTGTGTGGAATAGTAGAAGATCCTGTTTCGGCCGAAGAGGATTGAGAACCACTACCTCCATCCAGTGTTGCGGTTCCCACTATACCTTCTGTTATACATTCCTTGGTAGTGATATCATCGTTGCTTCCCCCTCCCTCTGAGGAAGTGCCTTCTGTTAGAGTTTCTGTTGGAGATGACCCTGTAACATCGTTCGTAGGATCCTGTGTCTGTATTGTGTTTTCGCTAGACTCATTATTGTGTGGAATAGTAGAAGATCCTGTTTCGGCCGAAGAGGATTCAGAACCACTACCTCCATCCTGTGTTGCGGTTCCCACTATACCTTCTGTTGTACATTCCGTGGTAGCGATATCATTGTTGGTCCCCCCTCCTTCTGCAGAAGTGCCTTCTGTTATAGGTTCTGTTGGAGATGCCCCTGTAACATCGTTCGTAGGGTCCTGCGTCTTTATTGTATTTTCACTAGACTGATTATCGTCCGAAATAGTAGAAGATCCTGTTTCGTACGAAGAGGATTGAGAACTACTACCTCCATCCTGTGTTACGGTCCCCACTATACCTTCTGTTGTACATTCCGTGGTAGTGATATCATCGTTGGTTTCCCCTCCCACTGCAAAAGTGCCGTCTGTTATAGTTTCTGTTAGAGATGCCCCAGTAAGATCGTTCGTAGGGTCCTGTGTCTGTATTGTGTTTTGACTAGACTGATTATCGTTTGGAATGGTGAAAGATCCTGTTTCGGCCGAAGAGGATTGAGAACCACTACCTCCATCCTGTGTTACGGTTCCCATTGTAACTTCTTTTGTATATTCCATGGTAGTCATATCATCATTAGTTCCCCCTCCCTCTGCAAAGGTGCCTTCTGTTATAGTTTCTGTTGGAGATGCCCCAGTAACATCGTTCGTAGGGTCCTGTGTCTGTCTTGTGTTTTCACTAGACTGATTATCGTCCGGGATAGTAGAAGATCCTTTTTCGGACGAAGAGGATTGAGAACCACTACCTCCATCCTGTGTTGCGGTTCCCACTATACCTTCTGTTGTACATTCCGTGGTAGCGATATCATCGTTGGTTCCCTCTCCTTCTGCAGAAGTGCCTTCTGTTATAGTTTCTGTTTGAGATGCCCCTGTAACATCGTTCGTAGGGTCCTGCGTCTTTATTGTATTTTCACTAGTCTGATTATCGTCCGAAATAGTAGAAGATCCTGTTTCAGACGCAGAGGATTGAGAACCACTACCTCCATCCTGTGTTGCGGTCTCCACTATACCTTCTGTTGTACATTCCGTGGTAGTGATATCATCATTGGTTCCCCCTCCCTCTGCAGAAGTGCCTTCTGTTATAGTTTCTGTTAGAGATGCCCCAGTAAGATCGTTCGTAGGGTCCGGTGTCTGTCTTGTGTTTTCACCAGACTGATTATCGTTTGGAATGGTGGAAAATCCTGTTTCGGCCGAAGAGGATTGAGAACCACTACCTCCATCCTGTGTTACGGTTCCCACTGTACCTTCTTTTGTATATTCCGTGGTACTCATATCATCATTAGTTCCCCTTTCCTCTATAGAAGTGCCTTCGGTTATAGTTTCTGTTTGAGATGCCCCTGTAACATCGTTCGTAGGGTCCTGCGTCTGTATTGTGTTTTCACTAGACTGATTGTCGTCGGGAATAGTAGAAGATCCTTTTTCGGACGAAGAGGATTGAGAACCACTACCTCCATCCTGTGTTACGGTTCCCACTGTACCTTCTTTTGTATATTCCGTGGTAGTTCTATCATCATTAGTTCCCCCTTCCTCTACAGAAGTGCTTTCGGTTATAGTTTCTGTTTGAGATGCCCCTGTAACATCGTTCGTAGGGTCCTGCGTCTTTATTGTATTTTCACTAGTCTGATTATTGTTTGGAATAGTAGAAGATCCTGTCTCGGCCGAAGAGGATTGAGAACCACTACCTCCATCCTGTGTTGCGGTTCCCGCTATACCTTCTGTTGTACATTCCGTGGTAGTGATATCATCGTTGGTTCCCCCATCCTCTGCAGAAGTGCCTTCCCTTATAGTAGCAGTTGGAGATGCTGCTGTAACATCGTTCGTAGGATCCGGTGTCTGTATTGTGTTTTCGCTAGACTGGTTATTGTTTGGAATAGTAGAAGATCCTGTTTCGGACGAAGAGGATTGAGAACCACTACCTCCAACCTGTGTTGCGGTTCCCGCTATACCTTCTGTTGTACATTCCGTGGTAGTCATATCATCATTAGTTCCCCCTTCCTCTACAGAAGTGCCTTCGGTTATAGTTTCTGTTGGAGATGCCCCTGTAACATCGTTCGTAGGGTCCTGCGTCTTTATTGTATTTTCACTAGTCTGATTATCTTCCGAAATAGTAGAAGATCCTGTTTCGGACGAAGAGGATTGAGAACTACTACCTCCATCCTGTGTTGCGGTTCCCGCTATACCTTCTGTTGTACATTCCGTGGTAGTGATATCATCATTGGTTCCCCCTCCCTCTGCAGAAGTGCCTTCTCTTACAGTTTCTGTTAGAGACGCCCCAGTAAGATCGTTCGTAGGGTCCGGTGTCTGTCTTGTGTTTTCACTAGCCTGATTATCGTCAGAAATAGTAGAAGATCCTGTTTCGTAAGAAGAGGATTGAGAACTACTACCTCCATCCTGTGTTGCGGTCCCCACTATACCTTCTGTTGTACATTCCGTGGTAGTGATATCATCGTTGGTTCCCCCTCGCTCTGCAAAAGTGCCGTCTGTTATAGTTTCTGTTAGAGATGCCCCAGTAAGATCGTTCGTAGGGTCCTGTGTCTGTCTTGTGTTTTCACTAGACTGATTATCGTCCGGGATAGTAGAAGTTCCTTTTTCGGACGAAGAGGATTGAGAACCACTACCTCCATCATGTGTTGCGGTTCCCACTATACCTTCTGTTGTACATTCCGTGGTAGCGATATCATCGTTGGTTCCCCCTCCTTCTGCAGAAGTGCCTTCTGTTATAGTTTCAGTTTGAGATGCCCCTGTAACATCGTTCGTAGGGTCCTGCGGCTTTATTGTATTTTCACTAGTCTGATTATCGTCCGAAATAGTAGAAGATCCTGTTTCAGACGCAGAGGATTGAGAACCACTACCTCCATCCTGTGTTGCGGTCTCCACTATACCTTCTGTTGTACATTCCGTGGTAGTGATATCATCATTGGTTCCCCCTCCCTCTGCAGAAGTGCCTTCTGTTATAGTTTCTGTTAGAGATGCCCCAGTAAGATCGTTCGTAGGATCCGGTGTCTGTATTTTGTTTTCGCTAGACTTGCTATTGTTTGGAATAGTATAAGATCCTGTTTCGGCCGAAGAGGATTGAGAACCACTACCTCCATCCTGTGTTGCGGTTCCCGCTATACCTTCTGTTGTACATTCCGTGGTAGTAATATCATCATTGGTTCCCCCTCCCTCTGCAGAAGTGCCTTCTCTTACAGTTTCTGTTAGAGATGCCCCAGTAAGATCGTTCGTAGGGTCCGGTGTCTGTCTTGTGTTTTCACTAGACTGATTATCGTTTGGAATGGTGGAAGATCCTGTTTCGGCCGAAGAGGATTGAGAACCGCTACCTCCATCCTGTGTTACGTTTCCCACTGTACCTTCTTTTGTATATTCCGTGGTAGTCATATCATCATTAGTTCCCCCTTCCTCTACAGAAGTGCCTTCGGTTATAGTTTCTGTTTGAGATGCCCCTGTAACATCGTTCGTAGGGTCCTGCGTCTGTATTGTGTTTTCACTAGACTGATTGTCGTCCGGAATAGTAGAAGAACCTTTTTCGGACGAAGAGGATTGGGAACTACTACCTCCATCCTGTGTTGCGGTCTCCACTATAGCTTCTGTTGTACATTCCGTAGTAGTGATATCATCGTTGGTTCCTCCATCCTCTGCAGAAGTGCCTTCCCTTATAGTAGCAGTTGGAGATGCTGCTGTAACATCGTTCTTAGGATCCGGTGTCTGTATTGTGTTTTCGCTAGACTGGTTATTGTTTGGAATAGTAGAAGATCCTGTTTCGGCCGAAGAGGATTGAGAACCACTACCTCCATCCTGTGTTGCGGTTCCCGCTATACCTTCTGTTGTACATTCCGTGGTAGTGATATCATCATTGGTTCCCCCTCCCTCTGCAGAAGTGCCTTCTCTTACAGTTTCTGTTAGAGATGCCCCAGTAAGATCGTCCGTAGGGTCCGGTGTCTGTCTTGTGTTTTCACTAGACTGATTATCGTTTGGAATGGTGGAAGATCCTGTTTCGTACGAAGTGGATTGAGAACTACTACCTCCATCCTGTGTTACGGTCCCCACTATACCTTCTGTTGTACATTCCGTGGTAGTGATATCATCGTTGGTTCCCTCTCCTTCTGCAGAAGTGCCTTCTGTTATAGTTTCTGTTTGAGATGCCCCTGTAACATCGTTCGTAGGGTCCTGCGTCTTTATTGTATTTTCACTAGTCTGATTATCGTCCGAAATAGTAGAAGATCCTGTTTCAGACGCAGAGGATTGAGAACCACTACCTCCATCCTGTGTTGCGGTCTCCACTATACCTTCTGTTGTACATTTCGTGGTAATGATATCATCATTGGGTCCCCCTCCCTCTGCAGAAGTGCCTTCTGTTATAGTTTCTGTTAGAGATGCCCCAGTAAGATCGTTCGTAGGATCCGGTGTCTGTATTTTGTTTTTGATAGACTTGTTATTGTTTGGAATAGTAGAAGATCCTGTTTCGGCCGAAGAGGATTGAGAACCACTACCTCCATCCTGTGTTGCGGTTCCCGCTATACCTTCTGTTGTACATTCCGTGGTAGTAATATCATCATTGGTTCCCCCTCCCTCTGCAGAAGTGCCTTCTCTTACAGTTTCTGTTAGAGATGCCCCAGTAAGATCGTTCGTAGGGTCCGGTGTCTGTCTTGTGTTTTCACTAGACTGATTATCGTTTGGAATGGTGGAAGATCCTGTTTCGGCCGAAGAGGATTGAGAACCGCTACCTCCATCCTGTGTTACGTTTCCAACTGTACCTTCTTTTGTATATTCCGTGGTAGTCATATCATCATTAGTTCCCCCTTCCTCTACAGAAGTGCCTTCGGTTATAGTTTCTGTTTGAGATGCCCCTGTAACATCGTTCGTAGGGTCCTGCGTCTGTATTGTGTTTTCACTAGACTGATTGTCGTCCGGAATAGTAGAAGAACCTTTTTCGGACGAAGAGGATTGGGAACTACTACCTCCATCCTGTGTTGCGGTCTCCACTATAGCTTCTGTTGTACATTCCGTGGTAGTGATATCATCGTTGGTTCCTCCATCCTCTGCAGAAGTGCCTTCCCTTATAGTAGCAGTTGGAGATGACCCAGTACGATCGTTCGTAGGGTCCTGCGTCTGTATCGTGTTTTCACTAGACTGATTGTCGTCCGGAATAGTAGAAGATCCTTTTTCGGACGAAGAGGATTGAGAACCACTACCTCCATCTTGTGTTGCGGTTCCCGCTATACCTTCTGTTGTACATTCCGTGGTAGTGATATCATCATTGGTTCCCCCTCCCTCTGCAGAAGTGCCTTCTCTTACAGTTTCTGTTAGAGATGCCCCAGTAAGATCGTCCGTAGGGTCCGGTGTCTGTCTTGTGTTTTCACTAGACTGATTATCGTTTGGAATGGTGGAAGATCCTGTTTCGGCCGAAGGGGATTGAGAACCACTACCTCCATCCTGTGTTACGGTTCCCACTGTACCTTCTTTTGTATATTCCGTGGTAGTCATATCATCATTAGTTCCCCCTTCCTCTACAAAAGTGCCTTCGGTTATAGTTTCTGTTTGAGATGCCCCTGTAACATCGTTCGTAGGGTCCTGCGTCTGTATTGTGTTTTCACTAGACTGATTGTCGTCGGGAATAGTAGAAGATCCTTTTTCGGACGAAGAGGATTGAGAACCACTGCCTCCATCCTGTGTTGCGGTTCCCGCTATACCTTCTGTTGTACATTCCGTGGTAGTGATATCATCGTTGGTTCCTCCATCCTCTGCAGAAGTGCCTTCCCTTATAGTAGCAGTTGGAGATGCTGCTGTAACATCGTTCTTAGGATCCGGTGTCTGTATTGTGTTTTCGCTAGACTGGTTATTGTTTGGAATAGTAGAAGATCCTGTTTCGGCCGAAGAGGATTGAGAACCACTACCTCCATCCTGTGTTGCGGTTCCCGCTATACCTTCTGTTGTACATTCCGTGGTAGCGATATCATTGTTGGCCCCCCCTCCTTCTGCAGAAGTGCCTTCTGTTATAGTTTCTGTTGGAGATGCCCCTGTAACATCGTTCGTAGGGTCCTGCGTCGTTATTGTATTTTCACTAGTCTGATTATCGTCCGAAATAGTAGAAGATCCTGTTTCGTACGAAGAGGATTGAGAACTACTACCTCCATCCTGTATTACGGTCCCCACTATACCTTCTGTTGTACATTCCGTGGTAGTGATATCATCGTTGGTTCCTCCATCCTCTGCAGAAGTGCCTTCCCTTATAGTAGCAGTTGGAGATGACCCAGTACGATCGTTCGTAGGGTCCTGCGTCTGTATCGTGTTTTCACTAGACTGATTGTCGTCCGGAATAGTAGAAGATCCTTTTTCGGACGAAGAGGATTGAGAACCACTACCTCCATCTTGTGTTGCGGTTCCCGCTATACCTTCTGTTGTACATTCCGTGGTAGTGATATCATCATTGGTTCCCCCTCCCTCTGCAGAAGTGCCTTCTCTTACAGTTTCTGTTAGAGATGCCCCAGTAAGATCGTCCGTAGGGTCCGGTGTCTGTCTTGTGTTTTCACTAGACTGATTATCGTTTGGAATGGTGGAAGATCCTGTTTCGGCCGAAGGGGATTGAGAACCACTACCTCCATCCTGTGTTACGGTTCCCACTGTACCTTCTTTTGTATATTCCGTGGTAGTCATATCATCATTAGTTCCCCCTTCCTCTACAAAAGTGCCTTCGGTTATAGTTTCTGTTTGAGATGCCCCTGTAACATAGTTCATAGGGTCCTGCGTCTGTATTGTGTTTTCACTAGACTGATTGTCGTCGGGAATAGTAGAAGATCCTTTTTCGGACGAAGAGGATTGAGAACCACTGCCTCCATCCTGTGTTGCGGTTCCCGCTATACCTTCTGTTGTACATTCCGTGGTAGTGATATCATCGTTGGTTCCTCCATCCTCTGCAGAAGTGCCTTCCCTTATAGTAGCAGTTGGAGATGCTGCTGTAACATCGTTCGTAGGATCCGGTGTCTGTATTGTGTTTTCGCTAGACTGGTTATTGTTTGGAATAGTAGAAGATCCTGTTTCGGCCGAAGAGGATTGAGAACCACTACCTCCATCCTGTGTTGCGGTTCCCGCTATACCTTCTGTTGTACATTCCGTGGTAGTGATATCATCATTGGTTCTCCCTCCCTCTGCAGAAGTGCCTTCTCTTACAGTCTCTGTTAGAGATGACCCAGTAAGATCGTTTGTAGGGTCCTGCGTCTGTATTGTGTTTTCACTAGACTGATTGTCGTCCGGAATAGTAGAAGATCCTTTTTCGGACGAAGAGGATTGAGAACCACTACCTCCATCCTGTGTTGCGGTTCCCGCTATACCTTCTGTTGTACATTCCGTGGTAGTGATATCATCGTTGGTTCCTCCATCCTCTGCAGAAGTGCCTTCCCTTATAGTAGCAGTTGGAGATGCTGCTGTAACATCGTTCTTAGGATCCGGTGTCTGTATTGTGTTTTCGCTAGACTGATTATCGTTTGGAATGGTGGAAAATCCTGTTTCGGCCGAAGAGGATTGAGAACCACTACCTCCATCCTGTGTTACGGTTCCCACTGTACCTTCTGTTGTACATTCCGTGGTAGCGATATCATTGTTGGCCCCCCCTCCTTCTGCAGAAGTGCCTTCTGTTATAGTTTCTGTTGGAGATGCCCCTGTAACATCGTTCGTAGGGTCCTGCGTCGTTATTGTATTTTCACTAGTCTGATTATCGTCCGAAATAGTAGAAGATCCTGTTTCGTACGAAGAGGATTGAGAACTACTACCTCCATCCTGTGTTACGGTCCCCACTATACCTTCTGTTGTACATTCCGTGGTAGTGATATCATCGTTGGTTCCCCCTCCCTCTGCAAAAGTGCCGTCTGTTATAGTTTCTGTTAGGGATGCCCCAGTAAGATCGTTCGTAGGGTCCTGTGTCTGTCTTGTGTTTTCACTAGACTGATTATCGTCCGGGATAGTAGAAGATCCTTTTTCGGACGGAGAGGATTGAGAACCACTACCTCCATCCTGTGTTGCGGTTCCCGCTATACCTTCTGTTGTACATTCCGTGGTAGTAATATCATCATTGGTTCCCCCTCCCTCTGCAGAAGTGCCTTCTCTTACAGTTTCTGTTAGAGATGCCCCAGTAAGATCGTTCGTAGGGTCCGGTGTCTGTCTTGTCTTTTCACTAGACTGATTATCGTTTGGAATGGTGGAAGATCCTGTTTCGGCCGAAGAGGATTGAGAACCGCTACCTCCATCCTGTGTTACGTTTCCCACTGTACCTTCTTTTGTATATTCCGTGGTAGTCATATCATCATTAGTTCCCCCTTCCTCTACAGAAGTGCCTTCGGTTATAGTTTCAGTTTGAGATGCCCCTGTAACATCGTTCGTAGGGTCCTGCGTCTGTATTGTGTTTTCACTAGACTGATTGTCGTCCGGAATAGTAGAAGATCCTTTTTCGGACGAAGAGGATTGGGAACTACTACCTCCATCCTGTGTTGCGGTCTCCACTATAGCTTCTGTTGTACATTCCGTGGTAGTGATATCATCGTTGGTTCCTCCATCCTCTGCAGAAGTGCCTTCCCTTATAGTAGCAGTTGGAGATGACCCAGTACGATCGTTCGTAGGGTCCTGCGTCTGTATCGTGTTTTCACTAGACTGATTGTCGTCCGGAATAGTAGAAGATCCTTTTTCGGACGAAGAGGATTGAGAACCACTACCTCCATCTTGTGTTGCGGTTCCCGCTATAGCTTCTGTTGTACATTCCGTGGTAGTGATATCATCATTGGTTCCCCCTCCCTCTGCAGAAGTGCCTTCTCTTACAGTTTCTGTTAGAGATGCCCCAGTAAGATCGTCCGTAGGGTCCGGTGTCTGTCTTGTGTTTTCACTAGACTGATTGTCGTCCGGAATAGTAGAAGATCCTTTTTCGGTCGAAGAGGATTGAGAACCACTACCTCCATCCTGTGTTGCGGTTCCCGCTATACCTTCTGTTGTACATTCCGTGGTAGTGATATCATCGTTGGTTCCTCCATCCTCTGCAGAAGTGCCTTCCCTTATAGTAGCAGTTGGAGATGCTGCTGTAACATCGTTCGTAGGATCCGGTGTCTGTATTGTGTTTTCGCTAGACTGGTTATTGTTTGGAATAGTAGAAGATCCTGTTTCGGCCGAAGAGGATTGAGAACCACTACCTCCATCCTGTGTTGCGGTTCCCGCTATACCTTCTGTTGTACATTCTGTGGTAGTGATATCATCATTGGTTCTCCCTCCCTCTGCAGAAGTGCCTTCTCTTACAGTTTCTGTTAGAGATGACCCAGTAAGATCGTTCGTAGGGTCCTGCGTCTGTATTGTGTTTTCACTAGACTGATTGTCGTCCGGAATAGTAGAAGATCCTTTTTCGGACGAAGAGGATTGAGAACCACTGCCTCCATCCTGTGTTGCGGTTCCCGCTATACCTTCTGTTGTACATTCCGTGGTAGTGATATCATCGTTGGTTCCTCCATCCTCTGCAGAAGTGCCTTCCCTTATAGTAGCAGTTGGAGATGCTGCCGTAACATCGTTCGTAGGATCCGGTGTCTGTATTGTGTTTTCGCTAGACTGGTTATTGTTTGGAATAGTAGAAGATCCTTTTTCGGACGAAGAGGATTGAGAACTACTACCTTCTTCCTGTGTTGCGGTACCCACTATACCTTCTGTTGTACATTCCGTGGTACCGATATCATCGTTGGTTCCCCCTCCGTCTGCAGATGAGCCTTCTGTTATAGATTCTGTCGGAAATGCCCCTGTAACATCGTTCGTAGGGTCCTGTGTCTGTCTTGTGTTTTCACTAGACTGATTATCGTTTGGAATCGTGGAAGATCCTGTTTCGGCCGAAGAGGATTGAGAACCGCTACCTCCATCCTGTGTTACGTTTCCCACTGTACCTTCTTTTGTATATTCCGTGGTAGTCATATCATCATTAGTTCCCCCTTCCTCTACAGAAGTGCCTTCGGTTATAGTTTCTGTTTGAGATGCCCCTGTAACATCGTTCGTAGGGTCCTGTGTCTGTATTGTATTCTCACTAGTCTGATTATCGTCCAAAATAGTAGAAGATCCTGTTTCGGACGAAGAGGATTGAGAACCATTACCTCCTTCCTGTGTTGCGGTGCCCACTATTCCTTCTGTTGTACATTCCGTGGTAGTGATATCATCATTGATTCCCCCTCCCTCTGCAAAAGTGCCTTCTGTTATAGTTTCTGTTGGAGATGCCCCAGTAACATCGTTCGTAGGGTCCTGTGTCTGTCTTGTGTTTTCACTAGACTGATTGTCGTCCGGAATAGTAGAAGATCCTTTTTCGGACGAAGAGGATTGAGAAGCAATACCTTCTTCCTGTGTTGCAGTTCCCACTATACCTTCTGTTGTACATTCCGTGGTAGCGATATCATCGTTGGTTCCCCCTCCTTCTGCAGAAGTGCCTTCTGTTATATTTTCTGTTGGAGATGCCCCTGTAACATCGTTCGTAGGATCCGGTGTCTGTATTGTGTTTTCGCTAGACTGGTTATTGTTTGGAATAGTAGAAGATCCTGTTTCGGCCGAAGAGGATTGAGAACCACTACCTCCATCCTGTGTTGCGGTCCCCACTATACCTTCTGTTGTACATTCCGTGGTACCGATATCATCGTTGGTTCTCCCTCCCTCTGCAGAAGTGCCTTCTCTTACAGTTTCTGTTAGAGATGACCCAGTAAGATCGTTAGTAGGGTCCTGCGTCTGTATTGTGTTTTCACTAGACTGATTGTCGTCCGGAATAGTAGAAGATCCTTTTTCGGACGAAGAGGATTGAGAACCACTACCTCGATCCTGTGTTGCGGTTCCCGCTATACCTTCTGTTGTACATTCCGTGGTAGTGATATCATCGTTGGTTCCTCCATCCTCTGCAGAAGTGCCTTCCCTTATAGTAGCAGTTGGAGATGCTGCTGTAACATCGTTTGTAGGATCCGGTGTCTGTATTGTGTTTTCGCTAGACTGGTTATTGTTTGGAATAGTAGAAGATCCTTTTTCGGACGAAGAGGATTGAGAACTACTACCTTCTTCCTGTGTTGCGGTACCCACTATACCTTCTGTTGTACATTCCGTGGTACCGATATCATCGTTGGTTCCCCCTCCTTCTACAGAAGTGCCTTCGGTTATAGTTTCTGTTTGAGATGCCCCTGTAACATCGCTCGTAGGGTCCTGCGTCTGTATTGTGTTTTCACTAGACTGATTATCGTTTGGAATCGTGGAAGATCCTGTTTCGGCCGAAGAGGATTGGGAACCACTACCTTCTTCCTGTATTGCGGTTCCCACTATACCTTCTGTTGTACATTCCGTGGTAGCGATATCATCGTTGGTTCCCCCTCCTTCTGCAGAAGTGCCTTCTGTTATATTTTCTGTTGGAGATGCCCCTGTAACATCGTTCGTAGGGTCCTGTGTCTGTTTTGTGTTTTCACTAGACTGATTATCGTCCGAAATAGTAGAAGATCCTGATTCGGACGAAGAGGATTGGGAACCACTACCTCCTTCCTGTGTTGCGGTCCCCACTATAACTTCTGTTGTACATTCCGTGGTAGTGATATCATCATTGGTTCCCCCTCCCTCTGCAAAGGTGCCTTCTGTTATAGTTTCTGTTGGAGATGCCCCAGTAACATCGTTCGTAGGGTCCGGTGTCTGTCTTGTGTTTTCAGTAGACTGATTATCGTTTGGAATGGTGGAAGATCCTGTTTCGGCCGAAGAGGATTGAGAACCACTACCTCCATCCTGTGTTACGGTTCCCACTGTACCTTCTTTTGTATATTCCGTGGTAGTCATATCATTATTAGTTCCCCCTTCCTCTACAAAAGTGCCTTCGGTTATAGTTTCTGTTTGAGATGCCCCTGTAACATCGTTCGTAGGGTCCTTCGTCTGTATTGTGTTTTCACTAGACTGATTGTCGTCCGGAATAGTAGAAGATCCTTTTTCGGACGAAGAGGATTGAGAACCACTACCTCCATCCTGTGTTGCGGTTCCCGGTATACCTTCTGTTGTACATTCTGTGGTAGTGATATCATCGTTGGTTCCTCCATCCTCTGCAGAAGTGCCTTCCCTTATAGTAGCAGTTGGAGATGCCGCTGTAACATCGTTCGTAGGATCCGGTGTCTGTATTGTGTTTTCGCTAGACTGGTTATTGTTTGGAATAGTAGAAGATCCTGTTTCGGCCGAAGAGGATTGAGAACCACTACCTCCATCATGTGTTGCGGTTCCCGCTATACCTTCTGTTGTACATTCCGTGGTAGTGATATCTTCATTGGTTCTCCCTCCCTCTGCAGAAGTGCCTTCTCTTACAGTTTCTGTTAGAGATGACCCAGTAAGATCGTTCGTAGGGTCCGGTGTCTGTATTGTGTTTTCACTAGACTGATTGTCGTCCGGAATAGTAGAAGATCCTTTTTCGGACGAAGAGGATTGAGAACCACTACCTCCATCCTGTGTTGCGGTTCCCGCTATACCTTCTGTTGTACATTCTGTGGTAGTGATATCATCGTTGGTTCCTCCATCCTCTGCAGAAGTGCCTTCCCTTATAGTAGCAGTTGGAGATGCTGCTGTAACATCGTTCGTAGGATCCGGTGTCTGTATTGTGTTTTCGCTAGACTGGTTATTGTTTGTAATAGTAGAAGATCCTGTTTCGGCCGAAGAGGATTGAGAACCACTACCTCCATCCTGTGTTGCGGTCCCCACCATACCTTCTGTTGTACATTCCGTGGTAGTCATTTCATCATTAGTTCCCCCTTCCTCTACAGAAGTGCCTTCGGTTATAGTTTCTGTTTGAGATGCCCCTGTAACATCGTTCGTAGGGTCCTGCGTCTGTATTGTGTTTTCACTAGACTGATTATCGTTTGGAATCGTGGAAGATCCTGTTTCGGCCGAAGAGGATTGAGAACCACTACCTCCATCCTGTGTTACGGTTCCCACTATACCTATTGTTGTACATTCCGTGGTAGTGATATCATCATTGGTTCCCCCTCCCTCTGCAAAGGTGCCTTCTGTTATAGTTTCTGTTGGAGATGCCCCAGTAACATCGTTCGTAGGGTCCTGTGTCTGTCTTGTGTTTTCAGTAGACTGATTATCGTTTGGAATGGTGGAAGATCCTGTTTCGGCCGAAGAGAATTGAGAACTACTACCTCCATCCTGTGTTACGGTTCCCACTATACCTTCTTTTGTATATTCCGTGGTAGTCATATCATCATTAGTTCCCCCTTCCTCTATAATAGTGCCTTCGGTTATAGTTTCTGTTTGAGATGCCCCTGTAACATCGTTCGTAGGGTCCTTCGTCTGTATTGTGTTTTCACTAGACTGATTGTCGTCCGGAATAGTAGAAGATCCTTTTTCGGACGAAGAGGATTGAGAACCACTACCTCCATCCTGTGTTGCGGTTCCCGCTATACCTTCTGTTGTACATTCTGTGGTAGTGATATCATCGTTGGTTCCTCCATCCTCTGCAGAAGTGCCTTCCCTTATAGTAGCAGTTGGAGATGCTGCTGTAACATCGTTCGAAGGATCCGGTGTCTGTATTGTGTTTTCGCTAGACTGGTTATTATTTGGAATAGTAGAAGATCCTGTTTCGGCCGAAGAGGATTGAGAACCACTACCTCCATCCTGTGTTGCGGTTCCCGCTATACCTTCTGTTGTACATTCCGTGGTAGTGATATCATCATTGGTTCTCCCTCCCTCTGCAGATGTGCCTTCTCTTACAGTTTCTGTTAGAGATGACCCAGTAAGATCGTTCGTAGGGTACGGTGTCTGTCTTGTGTTTTCACTAGACTGATTATCGTTTGGAATAGTAGAAGATCCTTTTTCGGACGAAGAGGATTGAGAACCACTACCTCCATCCTGTGTTGCGGTCCCCACTATACCTTCTGTTGTACATTCCGTGGGAGTGATATCATCGTTGATTTCCCCATCCTCTGCAGAAGTGCCTTCCCTTATAGTAGCAGTTGGAGATGCTGCTGTAACATCGTTCGTAGGATCCGGTGTCTGTATTGTGTTTTCAGTAGACTGATTATCGTTTGGAATGGTGGAAGATCCTGTTTCGGCCGAAGAGAATTGAGAACTACTACCTCCATCCTGTGTTACGGTTCCCACTATACCTTCTTTTGTATATTCCGTGGTAGTCATATCATCATTAGTTCCCCCTTCCTCTACAATAGTGCCTTCGGTTATAGTTTCTGTTTGAGATGCCCCTGTAACATCGTTCGTAGGGTCCTTCGTCTGTATTGTGTTTTCACTAGACTGATTGTCGTCCGGAATAGTAGAAGATCCTTTTTCGGACGAAGAGGATTGAGAACCACTACCTCCATCCTGTGTTGCGGTTCCCGCTATACCTTCTGTTGTACATTCTGTGGTAGTGATATCATCGTTGGTTCCTCCATCCTCTGAAGAAGTGCCTTCCCTTATAGTAGCAGTTGGAGATGCTGCTGTAACATCGTTCGTAGGATCCGGTGTCTGTATTGTGTTTTCGCTAGACTGTTTATTATTTGGAATAGTAGAAGATCCTGTTTCGGCCGAAGAGGATTGAGAACCACTACCTCCATCCTGTGTTGCGGTTCCCGCTATACCTTCTGTTGTACATTCCGTGGTAGTGATATCATCATTGGTTCTCCCTCCCTCTGCAGAAGTGCCTTCTCTTACAGTTTCTGTTAGAGATGACCCAGTAAGATCGTTCGTAGGGTACGGTGTCTGTCTTGTGTTTTCACTAGACTGATTATCGTTTGGAATAGTAGAAGATCCTTTTTCGGACGAAGAGGATTGAGAACCACTACCTCCATCCTGTGTTGCGGTCCCCACTATACCTTCTGTTGTACATTCCGTGGGAGTGATATCATCGTTGATTTCCCCATCCTCTGCAGAAGTGCCTTCCCTTATAGTAGCAGTTGGAGATGCTGCTGTAACATCGTTCGTAGGATCCGGTGTCTGTATTGTGTTTTCACTTGACTGGTTATTGTTTGGAATAGTAGAAGATCCTCTTTCGGCCGATGAGGATTGAGAACCACTTCCTTCTTCCTGTGTTGCGGTTCCCGCTATACCTTCTGTTGTACATTCCGTGGTAGTCATATCATCATTAGTTCCCCCTTCCTCTACAGAAGTGCCTTCGGTTATAGTTTCTGTTTGAGATGCCCCTGTAACATCGCTCGTAGGGTCCTGCGTCTGTATTGTGTTTTCACTAGACTGATTATCGTTTGGAATCGTGGAAGATCCTGTTTCGGCCGAAGAGGATTGGGAACCACTACCTTCTTCCTGTATTGCGGTTCCCACTATACCTTCTGTTGTACATTCCGTGGTAGCGATATCATCGTTGGTTCCCCCTCCTTCTGCAGAAGTGCCTTCTGTTATAGTTTCTGTTGGAGATGCCCCTGTAACATCGTTCGTAGGATCCTGCGTCTTTATTGTATTCTCACTAGTCTGATTATCGTCCAAAATAGTAGAAGATCCTGTTTCGGACGAAGAGGATTGAGAACCATTACCTCCTTCCTGTGTTGCGGTGCCCACTATACCTTCTGTTGTACATTCCGTGGTAGTGATATCATCGTTGGTTCCCCCTCCTTCTGCAGAAGTGCCTTCTCTTACAGTTTCTGTTAGAGATGACCCAGTAAGATCGTTCGTAGGGTCCGGTGTCTGTCTTGTGTTTTCACTAGACTGATTATCGTCCGAAATAGTAGAAGATCCTGTTTCGGACAAAGAGGATTGAGAACCACTACCTCCATCCTGTGTTGCGGTTCCCACTGTACCTTCTGTTGTATATTCCGTGGTAGTAATATCATCATTAGTTCCCCCTTCCTCTGCAGAAGTGCCTTCTGTTATTGTTTCTGATGGAGATGCCCCTGTAACATCGTTCGTAGGGTCCTGCGTCTTTATTGTGTTTTCACTTGTCTGATTATACTCCGAAATAGTAGAAGATCCTGTTTCGGACGAAGATGATTGAGAACCACTACCTCCATCCTGTGTTGCGGTCCCCACTATACCTTCTGTTGTACATTCCATGGTAGCTATATCATCGTTGGTTCCCCCTTCTTCTGCAGATGTGCCTTCTGTTATAGTTTCTGTTAGAGATGCCCCTGTAACATCCTTCGTAGGGTCCTGCGTCTGAATTGTGTTTTCACTGGACTGATTATCGTTTGGAATAGTAGAAGATCCTGTTTTGGCCGAAGAGGATTGAGAACCTCTAGCTCCATACTGTGTTGCGGTTCCCACTGTACCTTCTGTTGTATATTCCTTGGTAGTGTTATCAACGTTGGTTCCCCCTCCGTCAGCAGATGTGCCTTCTGTTATAGTTTCTGTTGGAGATGCCCCTGTAACATCCTTCGTAGGGTCCTGCGTCTGAATTGTGTTTTCACTGGACTGATTATCGTCTGGAATCGTAGAAGATCCTGTTTCCGCCGAAGAGGATTGAGAACCACTAACTCCATCTGGTGTTGCGGTTTCGTTTATACATTCTTTTGTCCATTCCGTAGTAGCGATATTATCGTTGATTCTACCTTCCTCTGCAGACGTGCCTTCTGTTATGGCAGCAGTTGTAGATGCACCATTATCGTCGTTCGTGTTGTCCTGAGTCTGTATTGTATTTTCAGTTGATTGATTATTGTCTGGAATTGTAGAAGATCCTTTCGCCGAAGAGGATTGAGAACTACTGATACCATCTTTCATTGCGGTTTCCTTTAAACCTTCTGTTGTCCTTTCCGTGAAAGCCATATCATCGTCGGTTTCGCCTCCTTTTTTAGACGTCAGTCCTGTTATAGTAGTAGTTATATATGCACCAGTAACATTGTTCGTAGTGTCTTGAGTCGGTATTGTGTTTTCACTATGCTGATTATCAGCAGGAATTTTAGAAGATCTAGTTTTCGCCGATGAGGATTTGGAACTGTGTGTTCTCTGATTATTTTTTCGATGGTAACTTCTACTTATCGGTATAGGAGTATATGGGAATCCACCGGTTGTGATGTATGATGGTTGCTTGTTTTGATTCGTTGTGGTTTCGCCATTGCTCCTTATAATATTTCTTTTTGAGAAACAAGAGATCGGAAACAAACATTGCCGGCAAGAACGTCTTCTTTGGCATCTGATTTGACAGTCATCTGATATGTTACATCGATAACATTCACTATACATTACTGCTGGTTGGCATCCTGGAAAAGGGATTGGAATTCAACGTCATTAAATTTATTATAATAATTTTTAATAAAATCATGATTTAGAGAGTTTTTAATATATAAATTAAATAATTGCTAAATGAAAAAATTCTAATCCGAGTTTTCAAAAAAAGTACGTTCATTAAGGGTTCTTTTAAGCACAAGAAGAAAATCTCTTTTTATTGGGCTGTTTGTTTTGATTTATAAACCAAATCTCAAAATAGTAATTCCTTAGGAATATTAAATCACATATTTAAGGTATATACATATATACCTGACTGTTATAGCTACATGTTCGCCTCAATTAATTTACCAGATTTGCTACATATTTACTATATTTATTGAAATAATTTCCAAAAGTAATAATAATATTGTAATTGCTATTTAAACTTAAGTTTATGTCTTAAGGCCTGTTTAATAAGAATCAAAATTAACTTTTGATAGTCATTTATTGAACGTTGCGAGGTCTTCCGTGTCCCCCTCTTCAGCAATATTTTATTCTCCTTTCCATCCCCCCCCCAAAAAAAAAGAAGGCTAAGTCAAAATGGTATTTTATGTTTGGTACAATGTCTGGAATTAAAAATCAACTGTACCAAACTTATTATGTCACTCTGACTTCCCAATTTTTATTTATTTATTTTTTTTTGGTGGGGGCTAGGGAGAATAAAATTTGCTGGAGAGGGGGACACAGATTCGTCCATGAAAAGTTTAATAAATAACTATCAAAAGTTAATTTTGATTTTTACTAAACTGAGCTCAAGAGATATACTTAAGTGTGAATCGAATTAAAAAAATAAATATCAAGATTTAAAAAATGGAAAAGTAATGTTATAGATGTCCAATGGTACTGAAATATTAGGATTTTAGAAAATTTTTAATACGGCATGTAATTTCATAGTAGGTAATAAAAATTTCAGAAACATATTTGGCTAATAATTGCTTTAGTTATTAATTTCTATTGTTATATTATTGGATAAAAAATTAATCTTTCCATAAAGATTAATAGAAGTTCCATGAAAATTAACTTGAAACCTTAACATTTTTTTTTTTTACAGTTTGACAAACCAAAATTCTCATATTTTATATTAATTGTCGAAAGTTAGTATTTATAGTTTAACTATTATTCTTAAGATTCTTATTTAAAAAATATTAATCTAATAATATAAATCTTTATTTTTGAAAGATTGTCTCTGAAATGATCGACAGAGTTCTTGGTAATTTTTTTTATCTTTTATATTAATGAAAATAATTGTTGTTGAGGAGTATATAATGAAATCTATTCGAATTTAAGATTTACTAATTTAAAAAAATAAAATTAGTGTATATACTTGTAGAAGTGTTTTATTTTTATTTATTTATGTTTAAGTTATTTTATTAGTATTTATTTATATACATATATGGGGTAGCCGTGCGTGCTAAGGCGCTTAAAATAGGTTATCAAAGTTAAACAACGCCGAGCGTGGTTAGCACTTGGATGGGTGACCGTCCACCAGGGAAAGCCATGCTGCCCGAGATCCCCTCCCCCCAGGTATGTGAGGCCCGTCAGCTTACTAGAGGCAACTCACACCGACCGGGCGTAGGACTGATGACCTCACATACCCGTGTACTCCCCGACACATACCCCGGGGACACCCTTGTACTTAAATCGAGAATTAGAGAGAGAAGACCACATCACGCGGTCAAAGATCTCTCTCTCTCTCTCTCTCTCTCTCTCTCTCTATATATATATATATATATATATATATATATATATATATATATATATATATATATATATATATATATATATATATATATAGTGAGTGAGAGTGTGTGAGATAAAAATACTTTATTGAAATTAGTGCTACCCTACTATATAGGGTTACGCAGCATACTCATCAATGGACATAGCTCTTACATCATATTATTCCATTATTATATAAACATATCACTTTTTTTTACCCGTTTTCACAACAATAGTCCATCTGCCATATCATTAACAATATCACATTAAGCAATTACCATTATGCAATACATATATTTAAAAAAAAAAAAAATATTCGCATGCTAGAAATACAAAACTAAATCGCACACATGTATCAACGCAATTCCTTGGATATAGACAAAGTTAAAAAATATTAATATGTATATATATATATATATATATATATATATATATATATATATATATATATATATATATATATATATATATATATATATATATATATATATGTATATATATATATATTATTAATCTGTTTAATTTATTTTTATTTATTGTACATTGAGTGTGGATATGATCTCTGAACACTATTATAAATTTCCTTTGGGACAGATAGTAATATTTCTCAATAAGCAGTTTCTAAAAAAAAAAAAAAGAACTTAAAATATTAATATAGAAATAAATATGTTGATATATTGATGAGTTGATATAAAATTTTAAAAAAAAGTTGATATTAATAGTTGCTTTGCAGTGTAATTTAAATATGTGGAGGTTCTTTGATAAATTTATTTATGATTAGTTGGAATGGAATGTTACTGGTTCTATACTTCGAGAATTACCGTTAAGATAACAATATTTGTTTTTAAAATACCTTGTTGTTGAATAGGTTTTTTGCTCTCAAGGCCAACTATAACTTCTTTAAATATTATATGTGTATATATATATATATATATATATATATATATATATATATATATATATATATATATATATATATATATATATATATGTATATATATATATATGTAAGTAAATATTTAAACGAAATTTGTAATTAAGGACATCGTATTATATTTTATGAAAAATATAACTTCTTATAATTAATTTATGTTCCTAAAAAGATAATTAAATTAATGAATCTGCCAATTGCTTGAATTGTTTCCATAAAAACGTATAAAATGTAAATGTTAGAATTAGGAACGTTTAGTTGGTACTTAATAGAATAAGAAACAATTCCCATCATGATGATCTCTGTAAAAAGCAGTGTTGTTTTACCACATAAGATGATAAATATTTGAAGCAAGAGTATTTTTAATTTTTTTTTTCTATAAGAAGTTTATTTTCTTACTTTAGTTTATTATAATACATCCCAAGTCATATAAAAAAAAATGGCCATTTTTCCATCATCATCATCATATTCCTAATCCCAATACCTCAGCACAGTGTGGGCTATGTCTTGTAGAGCTTGGACCAGGTTTCCCTTTCTTGAGCCAACTCTCTTCTCTTACACCAATCTAAACCTAGCTTCCTGAACGCCTCTTGTACAATGTCTTCCTATAGGTCTCCTTTCCTCCACACGGGTGTCGTATGTCTTCCTGGCTGTTTTGTCTAGATCCATTCTAAGAGGATGTCCGAACCATCTTAGATTGTGCTCCTCTAGGATGGTTTCAGCCGGTTTGACCTCGAGGCTAGTACAGTAGCGTTCCAGACCCTTTCTCTTCTGACCTTACTCTCGACCTTCCGAAGGTATCGCATCTCCATGGCTTGATTTCGACTTTTGTGTTTCGAGGTGAGGGTCCACGATTAAGAGGAGTACAAAAATATGGGGAGAAATGTCGATTTGTAGACTGCTACTTTAGTTCGCTTCGTTATCTCTCTTCTGCCCAGAAATCCCCTCCGGAGCAGATAGAATTTACTCAACTGATTCTTTTACTCACCTCTTCATCAACATAACCACTTCAGTTCCAAAATTGTAAAAATTTCATATTTCTCATTCACTGTTAATTTCTTCACATAGCCAACTATATATTTTTATTTAACCATTCGATGCCTTATTTCACTCTGGTATTAAAATAAAAGTCCATGTTGCTTTGTTGATTTTTTTACCAAGCAAAAACGATTTATGATAAATAATTAAGTATTTGGACTTAACCAATTTGAATATACAATTTTTATATGGATGCAATTGTATGGTGAAAAAAATAGTTATTAAGTATATTTTGTATTTCTTTTATTTTTTTGGAAACACACAAAAAATCTGTTTATATAAATTCAATGCCAAAAAAATATTTATTTAAAAAAAAATATTATTAGTCCTATATTAAAATTGCTATAGAAAAGTAAATCACCAGTATTTAGTACTTTATACTTATACATAACCTCTATCAGTAAATTACATTAATTTTCTTAGAAAATGGCATAAGATAATATGATAATTTTTATAGTAAAACTGACACATTTTTTTTTAATCTATATTTATCATCTTCATCATAATTCTCTCCCTCGTTTATTACCAATTCCTTCGCTTTAGTTTATAATGTTTTAGCGGAAGAGGAGAATGTAGATTTAAATGAAATATTTTCATCAAATTTTATATAGCTTCATGCTTGTCATTTTTTTTCTTTTTTTCTTTTCAATAATTATACTATCTTCAGGAATATGTGACATTATACTCACACATTCCGTTCATATAGTTTCTGAGACAATTTCCAAATCTATCGTTGTAACAGCCCCGGGTAATGTAAATGTCTTCATCGCAATTTTTAATATTTATCGATATTAGCGAAGCCCTTTTGAGTTTTTCTCCTCTGTTAGGAGAATTGTATGAGCTTAAGATGGGGATAGTTCTCTGTATTGATCTATTCCAAATGTTGCGGTTCCTTCGAATGATTGCGATTCTTGTTAATCTTCCTCTGTTGTTCGGTCTTTCCGTATTGGGTCCATTGTTCCTTTCGCTAATGTTGGTCGGGTATGACTCTCTTGACTTACCGATGATCGGTAGCTCACATTTGCTACACGAGAACCTTTTTTGGCACTGTATACTGCAATTTTCGCTTATTATGCATCTGTAGCATTTGCTGTACATTACTGCATGCTCGCATCCTAAAAAAATAATCTCGTTTAGGAACTTGAAACATATGACTCATTTGTAAATTTTTGGTGCTTAATTATAATTTAGATCAGTTTCTTACTAATTTAGCATTTAAATCTTCACACCTAGAATTTCCGTCTTGTAAACGTTTAGTCTTGAAAACCTTCTGAAGATTTATCGATGTATATATATATATATACATCGATAAATCTTCAGTAGGTTTTACGATAGCTAGAAAAGACGAAATTGAAGAGCAAAACGAGAAGATGCAACTAACAATTAAAATATAAAATAATACTGTCATATTCTTTTTGGTTATTTTTTGTTTGCAGAACAAGCCCGCTTATGTTGAGGGACGAGAGACTTCTTAAGGTTTTTGAAATGAAGTATTGCGTAGAATATACGGATCGAAGAAGTATTAGTCATCCGGAGAATTTAAAAAGTTACACAACGTCGAATTGCATGCACTCTTTTTTTTCAATTACCTATTTCTGACAACGTAGTGATTGTTATAAAGGCACAGCCATACCTATTCATATGTCATAACAGAATAGGTATGTAAAATTGTTAAGTATAGAAACGAGAGAACACCTAAAATAGTGCAGTGCCACCTGGTAAATACCCGAGATTGCATTATATTAAGGTTGATCTGCCGCGGGTTTGGATGTCAGCGTATGCACGGAAGTATGTAAACAGCGATTGCTGATATAGGTATGTTTGGACAGACGTAAATTTCAGGAAAAGTTAATAATGACTGGAGTTATCGAATTCGAACCTCCGCGTTATCCTGACCTTATTATTAATAATTTGTTTAAATATTCATGTTCACGATATTTCTTAATTATTTACTTGTTTAATGTTTAGGCTATACAATATCGTAGACCAGTTAGATTTGAAATTTTTTTTTTTTTTTTTTTATTATTTTAATGGAATTTACAACTGTATTACATAGAGAATACAATAAGTAAATGAGAAATTTGTAACATGGCATGTACAACATGAAGAGAAACTACCCATTGGTAGAACTCAAATTAAAGTTCTATATTAGAAGATCCCGAGGTCATCTTCTTTTCAGACGCCTCGGAGGGTTATCAGGGATCGAGGAGGAAGCAAGGTTTGAAACGAGAGGATTCGGATGATTCTGCAGTTTGTTATGGAAGGAATGGTATCTGGATTGGGCCAGATCGGAAACATATGGAACATTAAGGTCTTTATGGATGATTTTATTTGTGACAAAGTAAGGAGCGTTGAGGATTTTACGAAGGATTTTGGATTGTAAGGATTGGATACGAGAGGAATTCGATGGTTTAGTGGAGCCCCAAAGCTCAATTCCGTAAGTCCAAATAGGTCTTATTATTGTCATATATACGAGTCGTTTATAATTGATTGAAAGCTTAGATCGTTTGTCTAGTAAGTGCTGCAGTAGCCGAAAACGTCGGGCGGTTTCTAGTCGTTTCAGTCTGGTATGGGGGTTCCAAGTGAGTCGTTTGTCAAGGTGGAGTCCTAAGTAGCGGATTTGCTCAACAGGAATAAGTGGAGTATTATTGAAGGATACTGTAGGACAAGAGGTCATAGGTTTACGACGGAGGGTAAAAGTGATTTGATGGGATTTGTTGGAATTTATTTTTATTCTCCAATTTTTACACCATTCTTCAAGGCTTGTGATATGTGATTGAAGAGTTTGGGATGAGATTTGAAAAATAAAATAGAATTTAGAGCAAAATCATAGATATTATAGTTTACGCCAAAAAAAAAAATATATGATAAGAAATTTTAATAATGTCTTTAGATTAATAAATTTGAATTGTTTAAAGAATGATCTAATAATTCAGGTCTAGCATCTCCATTGACCATTAAAATATAACAATAAAAAATGTTTATAAGATAATTATATAATGATCACACAAATTAATTCCATGTTATACCTTTGATACATATTCCTTTTTTACAAATATAACTCGAGTTTACCGGTAAGATAGTTCAGTTGATACTTGCCTTATTAATGCTGCTCAAACATAATGGAAATTCGTCACGAATTCATAAACTTGTTAAAATCTATGGCATGGATAATAACACATGTATCCGCAGTGCGTTCTCAATACTTATACTTTTACTTGTAAAAGTTAGTTGTTAGAATCATCATATAATTATTATATTTATATAACAGAGCAGATAAATAAAATAATTTATTACATTTAACATTAATTTAGTAAGAATATAATATATAGAAAATTTATTTTTGTTTGCTCTAAACCGAAAAAAAATTATATATAAACATACGGTCCTAACCGGGAAATCGGGGTGAGAGATAATGTGGAATAGTTGCTCCTCTCCCCCCTCCCCCATTTCTAAAATAGAAAAAAATATCAGAAAATATGAACAAATTTCTGATAAACTGATAGACAGCTATAGTTTTATTGTTGAAACCAATTTTTAAAAATCTCATCACACTATATGTTAAAAAAATTAAATTTAAAACGTTTTTCCTACTTCGGGGTTGATTTGCCGAAATTTTTAAGCCTAAATATAAAAATAAAAATAACGTAATAGCCCAGTCAAATTAGATATGTTATCTTGAAAAAGGTCGGGTAATTTAAATTTCTTTTTTATATCGTTAGGTATGTAATGAATATAAAAAATCCATCTAACGTTTTTTGTACAGGAACACAACAGGAAACGAACTATCGAGCTTACAAAATTTACCCATTTCGATTTCTTCACAATACTGGTGTTTTAGTTTTGAACTGAAGGAATCTATAATTCCATTTTGAACCGCGTTCAGAGAATTTTGAGGTTTTCCTTGAAGATAATGAACCATTGACTGTAACGGTTGGCGGTTGTCGGGTGTTTTGAAAATTATGTTACACGATGGGCCGTGTGTAACTACCGTGCACCCTCCCTCCAAATCCCAATAAATTGAATATAGTTGTGTTCCTTGTAACTATTTTTTTTAAAAAAGCTAATGTTACGACAAAGAAAATGTGGCCTCACAGTTCCAAAATGGCGTTCAAATCTAGCAGATTTACTTCTTTGAGTTAGTTTTCCGGTCGCTGAGATTCAGTATTTGGCTTAATTTCTCCATATATGGCCTTTTGTTAATGCTGGATAGTTAGAGATTAATAAAACATGAATAAATGTTTTTAAAAAAAGTAATTGGCATTCGCGATAAAAAACAACGGTAAATTTGAGGTTTTTAAGTCGTTCAAACTAAAGTTGAATATCAAGCTTCTTTTGTAAATAAACGGCCAATTGATAAACGGCAATGACGTCAAGAGTCCTCTGCCACATCATTAAGTACTTACAAATGGAATAGTTATAGTGTTATGATGATTGTATTAATAGTTGATTGTATTGTCGAACAAATATTAATACAATAATTGAATTGTAGATTTTTTTTTTTAAATTTTACTCATTTTTAAAGCTCGATAGTTCGCTTCCTGTTGTGATTAGAAAAAAATGTTATATACAAAAGTGTTAGATAATTATAAGATGTTTAAGATTGAATGTAACTATTTTTTTATCTATGTTAAAGGAGATATTCAGAATAAACTAAAATATGTTCGAAATTTCAATGGTTTTTGGAGCACTACAGCGAACCCACAATGCTTTCAAGAGCGGAAACTTGGATTTTTTTGTTGTCACTGCATTCCTAACAATAAATAAAAGAAATTTGAATTACCCGACCTTTAGGCTAGACCTCTTTTTTATTCCTAATTTGAACGGGCTATAAACCTATAAAGTTTTTTTTTTTTTATTCAAATTGAGAAAACCAATGGAAAATAAAAATAAAATAAAAAAAGTGTAAAGATGTACGGTAGTTGATCATGAATTAATAACACTACAGCATATTGTCGATAAAATTAATATTACCACATATTATGTGATAAAGATTCATTTCGTGAGACTGCGAAGCCTATAATTTTTCATTACTTAGATTAAAAATATTTCTTACCTGAGAGGATATTTGTTGTAAAAAAAAAAAAAAAATGATTTGTTTGATTATTAAGATTACGTTAATACCAGGAAAAAATTAAATTAATATTAATGATCGTATTTTAATTCAATTATAATATGGTTTATAAATACGAATATGATTACTCGCGGTTAATGAAAAAAAAAAAAACTAAAATAAAAATTTCAAAAAAATTGATACTTTTGCAGTTAAAACGGGAAAAAATATTTGTAAGCACATTTAATGAGATCATTGTAGCAAAAGATCCACCGAAATAGACTAATTATTATACTAACAAAGTGTAGTAATTTTTACTTACTGCCCGGATTTGCCACGCAGTAAGAGTTTTCAGGTACAACTCGTCTCGGAGTAGAGTTTGAGGACACCGCATCCGTGGTCGTCGGTGGTACTCCGGTAGTAGAATTTGTTTTTGTTGGTGTAACATCCGTAGATTTTGTGGGATTTGAAGTCGTGGTCTTTCTACGCCTATTAAATATAAACTTTGACGAAGGCCTAACCGTAGTTTTTGATTGGACTCTTGACGTTGATGCCACTGTGACCGTAGTCTCTGTAGGTTTTGTAACTGTAGAATTTGATGTAGCTTCAACCGTGGTCTTTGGTTGATCTGTAGTTTCATTTGATGCCACTGTACCAGTAGTCTCTGTAGGTTTTGTAACTGTAGAATTTGATGGAGCTTCAACCGTGGTCTTTGATTGATCTGTAGTTTCATATGGTGCCAATGTATCCGTTGTTTCCGATTCTAGAATCAAAACAGTATTATTACCTTGAAGGATTTTATACAATATATAAATGCATACATATATACAACATAAATATAATAAAAATTAACTGCAATATTACAACCCATCAAGGAGTTTGCATTCAGTATCAAGGCTGTATACTTTGTGTATAAACCTGAGAATAAAGCATTCAACATTAAAATTTATCTTTTTGTTCCCAGGAAATAAAAAAACAAAATTAATTTTTTTATTAGTGGTATATGAGTTTTATTAACCAACTTGGCAACTATTCATTATATGTAGTGCAGATGAAGTATATATTTTATTTTATAAATCAGATATTAAATATGACTCATTTCCGGGAAAGTATATACAATATAATTTTCCTCTAAAAATCAATAAATATACAAAATAAAGTATTAAATTGCGAATATTAACTAAAAAATTCAAGATATTCTGCGAAGTATTTGTTAATTAAGTTGTATTATTATAATTATATCATTTTTACAATAGACGTATTGTTAAACGACTTCCGTTGAAAATGAAGGAAGTAATATTTAAAATAAAAAAATAAAATAAAGTTGTTAAATTTTTTTGGACAATTAAATTACTGCAATAATATTTTCGCGTTAATACAATCAATATAATGTACCATAAACATTATTATAGCACTATAACTGTGCTATTTATGGGTACTTAATGATGTGGCAGAGGCCTGTAGGGACCTACGCAAGTACCGCTTTTCCACAGATTAAGAGAATTTTCTACAAAACCTCTTCAAATATTAAAAAAAAAAAATATGAGTGTTTTAAAAAGAACAGGATATTCTCCAGAGGTTTTATATTGGAACGTTTTTTTTTTATTATTCTCCGTTTAATTATAAATGGCACTTGATTTTCAACTTGTAATTTTTAAGATCCATTACGTCAAACTTTATTTTTAAATTTGTATATATGGGTTCAAACATGTAAAAAACAAAATTTCTAACTCGGTCATCAAGGGAAAACTTTTTACATCCAAAAAAGTCATTTTTTTTGTTTTTTCATCTATAAATCCTAAACGATGCATCAAAGCGAAAAATTTATTCTTTAAGAAATTACATAACGCTGAATTGTGCGTTGAACGAGCGCACAAACTTAATAATTTGGTTAGGTGGTATGGTATAAAAAAAACACGGTCAACCAAAGCTGATTTTGACCAAATTTGTCAAAAACTGAGTCAAATTACTATAAATGACCCTGTAACTTGCAAGTGAGTCCCCTAATAAACTGACAAAATGTAAAACATTTCAACAAAAAAAAAAAAAAAAAAAAAATAGATTATATATTTATTTGTAAAAAAGGTTTGATTTTTCGCTGTAATATCAAAATAATTATAAAATAAGTTATTAATTATATAATTCAGTTCGTCTGAGCCTAGTAAATGTTATTCCCATCAAAATGCTATATAGACTTGGCCTTATCCTTGAAATGAAATTTGAATCCTTGAAAACCTCGATTAATATCATGCTTATGTAAAAGTAAATGTCATGTTTGAAGCACCGATATTAAGCAACATATTATGTATTTTACAATGATCTATAAAAGTATACAATTGTAAAAATCTTGTTTCAAGAATTATAATTATATTACGATTATATAGTTCCATCCTGAAAAAATGTGAAATAAATATAACTAATGTTATTATCGTCGTAATTATTTTTAATTGTGTATAAAAATATTATGTGAATTCTATTTTTGATAAATGTTCGATACAAAAATTAAATATATGTACTTTTTTTTTTGTTAATGATTATGCTCTATAAAGCAGGACTTGAAATGAATTTTTTTTTTTTTAAAAAAAAAGTAACGGTACATCGGTATTTAAAATTTTTTTTTTTTTTTTAAAGTAACGGAACATCAGAATTTTTATTGTCGACAGTTTTTCAGTTCTTTTAGAACCAGGACTTTTTCCCTTGCTACTTTTCAAGTAAAGATTTTAAGAACTTTTATTTTTAAAAACATTTTATTTAATAGTTCTGTCAGTTTCGGTTCTAAATCGTTCAGAACTGGCAGAAAAATCGTTCTAAAAGACGACTTTTATTCATAGCTGCTCAAACAAACAACACATTAGTTTCATGTATAATTCATTTAAGGCAAATTATAACTCTAATCTAAGCCCAATGATTGTGAATTTTTTTCATTTAACTGATTTTTTTTTAAGAACTTGAATAAGTAAAACTTTTATCATAAACCTGAAACTTTATTACAAAAAGTTCCTTAGGAATTTTTTTTTTTTGGAACTTTTTTCCTAAAACGTTTCACAGAAACTGTTAAAATGGGACTGTTTTCTAAAAAATATAGTTTCACAAGAACTGTAATAAAATAGAACTTTTTATAATAAAGTTTATAATAGTTTCAACGCTTTGCTATAAAGTATGTTTAAGGTGGAATTTGAAAAATACCGAATAGTTAAAATAGTTACTGTTAAGGAGGGAATGAGCCCAAAACGAGAACTCTTGCTTGCATTGAGTAAAGCCATCCTTAGCTACGACAATGTTTCTAGGCCAACAGTTGTGGAAAGAGGTGATTTAACCAGTATCACGCTCAAACACCAAATTTTCAAGGAAATTTAAGGGAGCTAGAAAATTTTCGGTGCCTTTTTGTGCTCTAGATTGATATCCCTAATTCAGTGTTGATATAGATTAATATAAAAGAATAAATAATTATCTGATGCAGCAAGATTCGAACACCGGCTTGAGAGATAGCGGTTTAAAAACTGAATAATTCCACTCATAAAAATATTTAATAATTACTTAAATTAATTAATGAATTAAATCAGACTCAATTCATTACCAGAAAGAACTGAAGCACATCTGAATAGCAAAAGCATAACCACCAACGATATCGTCATATTTAAAAAACCCATCCTAGATGTCAGTGCATAACGGTGAATGGGAGCTTCACACTTGCTTCTGATGGGATTTTCATATTTTTCTTCAAAGAGATATCCAACGTTTTAAAGTAATTAAGTATTTAGCTCATAATACCCAGAAATCGTTTCTTATCTCAGGAACAATTAGAACAACGTCAGTCTTGTTTATTTTTAAAAGGCTAACTACATTGCGAAAGCATTATTTGTCTCAGATTCCTTACAGAACGCCTTAGGAAAAATATAACTAAAAACCACAACAATAAATTTGAAGAAAAAAAAAAACAAAAAAAGTTTTTTTTTTTTAACTTATATTATGATATTTACAACTGTATTAGTATGAATACATCAAGTAAATTTGTACAGAGAAATATTATTACATGAAACACGCTTGTTGAGAAAATACCCACTGGTAGCACTCTAATAATTTGTCTACATGAGAAGATCACGAGGCCATCTTCTTTTCAGACGCCTCGGAGGGTTATCAGGAATCGAAGAGGAAGCAAGGTTAGAAACAAGAGGATTCGGATGGTTATGAAGTTTATTATGGAAGGATAGGTATCTGGATTTGGCCAAATCGGAAACATATGGAACATTGAGGTCTTTATGGATTATTTTATTAGTGACAAAGTAAGGAGCATTGAGGATTTTACGAAGGATTTTGGATTGTAAGGATTGGATGCGAGAGGAATTCGATGGTTTAGTGGAGCCCCATAGCTCAACTCCGTAAGTCCAAATAGGTCTTATTATAGTCAAGTATATGAGTCTTTTGTAATTAAGGGGAAGTTTAGAGCGTTTGTCTAGTAAGTGTTGGAGTAGTCGGAAACGTCGAGCGGTTTCTTGTCGTTTCAGTCTGGTATGAGGATTCCAAGTTAGACGTTTGTCCAAATGAAGTCCAAGGTATCGGATTTGTTCAACAGGGATAAGTGGGGTATTATTAAAGGATACTGTGGGACATGAGGTCATAGGTTTACGTCGAAGGGCAAAGGTGATTTGATGGTATTTATTAGAATTTATTTTAATCCTCCAGTTTTGACACCATTCTTCAAGGCTTGTGATGTGTGATTGAAGAGTTTGGGATGCAATGGTTGGGTCATTATTAACGGATAGGACACATGTATCATCGGCATACGTGGTAATAACAGTGTTAAGATGGGTTGGGATGTCAGCTGTATAAACTGTGTAAAGGATAGGACCAAGGATACTACCATGAGGAAAAAAAAAAAACTTTAAAATTATAAGAAAATGATAGGTATTATTTTAAGACTAGTGGAAATCTCACGAACAATTAATATATCATTATAAGAATAAATAAAAAAACAGGTCCTATATAACTGAATTTTGACATTTTGTGGATAATTTTATTATTATAAATAGTAATGTGCACATAATCATATAAAATGCAAAAAAAAAAAAAAAAAATCCGAACCATAGAGCTTTTATACAGGATGTTTCAGGGTTAAGTGGCTAAACTGCATAAATGAATTAAGGACTTCAAAACAAGAAAAAAATCCGCTGAAGGCCTGTCCTCAAACGCTTTGTTTAGGAGATATTCACACCTAAAGATTTTCGTTGAAATGAATTATTTACGTTATATGAAATAAATAAAACCTGTTAATTAGTTCCAACTACTTTATTAATTGAACGAAAAAATTAACAAATGTTGTTCAAAGTGAAGTTATGTCCTCAAACACATTGTTTAGGAGATGGATTAGATAGAATACTAATGTGGCTCTTTATCCGTAACTGTAATAAAAACTATTGGCAACATAAGGATTAATACTATTTGGAATCAGCATTGGGAAATCTCAAAAACATTTATCAGTTTGTAAGAGGCTTCCGCAGGGTACTCATCATTATGCCTTTCATTTATACTAATGGTGAATATGCCGAAACGGTGTTCGTATACGGTTTTTTCAATGGTAATGGTAATACTTCCCGTCGTGAATATGCCAGGCGATTTCACAATAGATTACCAAACAAGTCTATCATTAGCTCCACGTTTCAACATCTTAGAGAAACTGGTACATTTGCTATAATACAATGTGCTGGTGGTTTTTTTTGCCTCTTCACTTTGTCAAAAACAGCCCGAATCAATTTGAACAATATTTAATATGAGTTTAATGTTTACGTTTAATTAATAAAGTATTTGGAACAAACAAATAAGTTTTATTTACTTGACATAACGTAAATAATTCGTAGTAATGGAATCTGTAGGCGTGAATATCTCCTGAATAAAGCGTTTGCGTACCTATCTTCAGAGGAAATTGTTTTCTTCTTTTAAGTTCCTTAATTCATATTTTCAGTTTGGCCACTTAACACTGAAACCATAAAGACTGTTTTATGGTTTTTATGGTGAGACACTCAGATGTTCTCCTTTAGTTAATCTGCCCAAACATACCTATATCACCAACCGCTGTTTACATACTTTCGTGCATACGCCGCCATCCAAACCCACTCCAGATCAACCTTAATATAATACAATCTCGGGTATTTACCAGGTGGCACTGCACTATTTAACCTTTTAGGTATTCTCTCGTTTCTATACTTAACAATTTTACATACCTATTTTGTTATGACATATGAATAGGCATGGCTGTGCCTCTATAACAATCACTACGTACGTCAGAAATAGATAATCGAAAAAAAAAACGTTGTGCAACCGTTTAAATTCTCCGGATGACTAATACTTCATACTTCATTTTTCAAATCTAACTGGTCTACGATATTGATATATCCTAAACATTCAAATTATTTCATAGTTTATATTTATTTGTTTTGTGAATCTACCACCAATGAAGGAACTTTAATTATTTATGATAAATAAAATCAAAGGTACTTTAGAAAAAGAAGTTTTGGAAATTCTGCATTAAAGTCCTGTCAGATTATTCCAATGAGGATTAAATCTAATTGATTTTAAAGACCATTCAGTTTCGCATCCATTTGACGAGTTAAATCAATATCTTTTGAAAAATTTTAGAAAAATGTGAAATATTGTAAAATCGATGATACAAAAAATTATTTCCGGCTAGTTGATTTAGACGAAAAGTTTCTAAATCCCTAAGTCAATTTTTTATTTTTGATCTAAGGCATTCACATATACAGACCTTAAAACATTTTTTCTGTTGGTAACCCAGATTCGAAATTTTTCAAGATCACACTTCTTTTCTTTACAATAGGTTTCATTTCTTGGCAAGTGAAAATAGAAAAAATGGAATAACTACAAAATGAAATTTAAATCTCATACCCCTTCTCGCTTTAAAGCTATCTCTCTCTTTTTTTTTTTTTTTTTGTATGAATGAACACATTTAGCTATGTTACTTATTACCCTTCAATGTGGCAGATTGTACTTTTAAAATAAAATATTTAAAAATTTTTTTTTTCACATACACACACACATGCACAATTATAGCATCTATGTTTATGGATATTATACCTTTAGTTCATTATTGTTAGATTTTTTAAGTTTTCTTTTAATATTTATTTATTTAAAATGTTTTGCTTAGAGAGAAGTTATCACGTTTCCATTAGTTTTAATTTATTCTAAGCGGATAATTTATATTGACCTCGGTAAATAATTGAAAAGCTAAGTGGAAGAACGTGTTATTCGACATTTTAGGAAAATTCGAATTTTCGCTTGAAATGACGTTTTAATTACTCCATTTAGTAATATCGAAATTCGCAAGAGATAAAATATGAAGTTCAAATAAAAAATGTCATGAAAATTAAAATATTTAAAAAACAAATAAATATTGTACATCGTGAATCATACTTTAATAGAATTCCTACTACTAAACTGTTAAGAAAAAAAATCGAATTATTAAAAATATTTTTATCATTTTCCCAAATTTGGTGTAGTGGCGTCCTATATTCCTTTCTGTATAGAAAATTTTAATTTTCATAAACCTTGGATTGCCTCGTGCGGACTCATTTCCACGTATGAGGAGCGCCCCACGGGTGGCTGATGTGGGAATGGTCAGTGGAAATTCCTTGAAAATTCCTCCAGGCTAAGTCCGATGGATTCGCTGACCAACCATGTAAGGGGCCCTCCAGACTTGCTGGAGGGTGTGACGTAGGATTGAACACCCTATTCCTATATATTTAGTTCACCATACACCACAAATAATCATAGATCTCCCTATGGTAAAACGCCCATTATCCGGAGGTAAACTAGTCCTCCATTCGGGTCTCCTGGTGGGTACTGCTTTAGGGGATTCATGGCGCAAGTTGAAAAAATAGGGATTTTTGGTATTGGCACGTGGATCGTACGGAGTTTGAATGCAGCAGGTGGGTTAAAATCGGCTGGAAATGAGATTAATTGGTACGATTTGGATATTGGAGTTCTGCAAGAGGTTCGCTGGCCTGGGGAGGGCTCGATAAGGGAAGGAAAGTACACTATTTGTTACCAAGGAAGGAATCATTGTTCAGGCACCGGGTTTCTAATAAGGAATAAATATCCGCTTTGAGGGACATACACTTCTTTAGTGATAGAATTTTGGCAGCCATATTTCAGGGACGTTGGTTTAAAATACGAAACGAGTTAATAAACATACTATCTTATATTTTTGTTATTATTTTACTGTCCTTCATGCCCAATGGCCTTGATTGTGGCAGATTGTATTATTATTATTATTATTCCAATAAAAAGATTATAAATAAAATAACATAACATACATTGTCAGACCGAAGACAGGGACGATGAACTCAAATGCAAACTTTACGATAAAATCTAATGGGTTTATGATAAACTTCCGTGAAAATAATTGTAGGTGACGCAAACGCATAGATGGAGAGAGTAGAAGTTTATTTTCCGCAAATTGGTAAAGAAAGTTTGCACAAATATAGTAATGATAATGGGATCCGGCTGAGTAACTTTGCCATCTCGAAAAACGTGTTATTAAAAGTACTACGTTTAAACATAAGGATATTCATATATGTACGTGAACATCACCGGATTCGCAAACACGAAATCAAATCGATCAATTATTGATACGACATATCTGGCAAAGTAGTATAATTAATGTACGGTTTTATTACGGAGCAGAATGTGGGTCGGATCATGAATCAGTAATCGCGAAACTTCGACAAAACTTAATATAAAAAAGTGAAAAGAAGACCGTTT